AATGTCCATCAGTGACAGACTGGATGAAGAAAATGTGGCACATATACACCATGGAATACTATGCAGCCATCAAAAAGGATGAGTTTGTGTCCTTTGTAGGGACATGGATGCAGCTGGAAACCATCATTCTCAGCAAACTATCACAAGAACAGAAAACCAAACACCACATGTTCTCACTCATAGGTGGGAACTGAACAATGAGATCACTTGGACTCAGGAAGGGGAACATCACACACCGGGGCCTATCATGGGAAGGGGGGAGGGGAGAGGGATTGCACTGGGAGTTATACCTGATGTAAATGACGAGTTGATGGGTGCTGACGAGTTGATGGGTGCAGCACACCAACATGGCACAAGTATACATATGTAACAAACCTGCACGTTATGCACATGTACCCTAGAACTTAAAGTATTAAAAAAAAAAAAAAAATCCACATTACAAAACCTACCATAAGCAAAATGCAAAAGACAGAAAATCAAACTGGAAAAAAATTAAAACTCTTATTAGTGACAAATTTATGTTGTTGAAAGAAAAACTTCAGCCAAATTAAATTTAAAAGAGTGTAATTGAGCAATGAATGATTCATGAATCAGGCAGCCTCTAGAATCAAGCAGATTCAGAGAGACTCTAGGGGTTCCTCATGGTCAGAACAAATTTATAGACAAAAAAAAAGTAAAGTAATATACAAAAATCGGAAATGAGGTACAGAAACAGCTGGATAGGTTACAGGTTGGCCTTTGCCTTATTTGAACACAGTTTGAACACTCAGCAGTCTATGAGTGGTTGAAGTATGACTGCTGGGATTGGCCAAGACTCAGCTATCATTACAGATGCATAGTCTTAAATTAGGTTTTCAATCTTGTGTGCCTATTAAGCTATGTTACGATTTGTCAATGATGATTCAAATATAGAAGTATGGAATCTTTCTCAGGCCATATTTAGTTTGCTTTAACAATCTGAAAACTAAGACTGAGATGTCGGAGAAACCAAGAGAAGAAAGTGTCAAAGACGATGAGAACAATCAAATGCATCCCATTCTGCTGACAGATCGAGAAGAAAGAGACTGAAAAGGGCCCCTTAGATATATTTGTGTGGAAGTCATAAGGTGCCTTAGCCATTTTAATAGATTGGTGGTGGTCAAAATGCAAGGAAATGGGTATAGCATGTGCAGGACATTCTTTCGAGATACTCTCTGTTAAACAGAGCAGAGAAACACTGGTAGTGAAGGATATTGGGTTAGGTCTAGTAAGAAGCTTGCATTTGTTTTGTGTTGATTTGCCTCATTTTGACTTTTAATGATAGAATCTTGATGGGATTTTCAAATTGAGCAAGAGAGGTTGAAAATGTCAGAAACAGTGTGGCTAAGACTGTCTTTGTCCTCTAATAGCCATTCTCTCATCTTCTATGGTAGTAGAGTCTGTGAATTTCAGCAGAGTAAATTACCTCCTAGAACAAAAATGACATTTCTTCACTTCCCTTGCAGTAGAATAATGTGTCCAAGTTCTAGCCATGGAAATAAAGGCAGAAATGTCTTGTGCAACTTCTAGGAAGTGTCCTTAAAGGAAAGGGCTCTCTTTTTCCTGCTGGCAAGAGTGTAGATATGATGGCTGGAGCATGAGCCACAAGATGGAAGCCACATTTTGGGGATGGTGGAAGCCACATTTTGGGGATGGTGGGCAAGATCAAAGCAGCCTGGTTTCCTGCTGATCACAGTGTTGTCATGCAAGTCCTGCATGGGCTGTGTCTATGTGAGGGAGGAATAAATGTTGACCTCCTTTAAAGCTGCTGTTATTTTCAGTTTTTTGTCACTGATGACCTAATATTAACTAGGAGAGGGCCAGGCGAGGTGGCTCACGCCTACAGTCTCAGCACTTTGGGAGGTCGAGGCAGGTGGATCACCTGAGGTCAGGAGTTTGAGACCAGCTTGACCAACATGGTGAAACCCCCGTCTGTACTAAAAATACAAAAATCAGCCAGGTGTAGTGGTGCGCACCTGTAGTCCCAGCTTCTCAGAAGGCTGAGGCAAGAGAATCGCTTGAGCCTGAGAGGTGGAGGTTGCAGTGAGCTGAGATTGTGGCACTGTACTCCATCCAGCCTGGGTGACAGAGCGAGACTCCATCTCAAAAAAAAAAAAATTCAACTAGGAGAGGGGGAATAACTAAGATAATCAGATCCCTGAGAGATAGAAGAATATAAATGTATCAGCCCTTTGTAAGAGGGATGTTTCATCAACTGGGACCTGGGCTCGACTACTTGCCAGCTGTGTGATCTTAGGCAAGCTATATAACTTCTCTGCACCTGTATTTCATCATCTGTAAAATATTAGGATATAAGAGAAGGGGAAAGGGAGAGGATGGCTACAGATGCAAGCAGGGTTTTAATCTGTTGTAACAAAGACAAGGGAATGTCTGTCTGGATGGCTTCTAAATTATCTCTAAAATAGAAGGCAAAATCAATAAGTGAAAGTGGGTGGTGTGAGGGCAGAGGATGCAGAGAATATGAAAAGATCTACAAAGTTATGAAAAAGTTATTGTAGAAAAAGAGCAAGCTGACTAGAGAAACATGGAAAAATTACCAGGCAGCACTGAGGAACCATGTGAGTCTGGGGATCATGAATTTATCATTATATCACTTTTTCTAGCTATAGAATTTACTGTAACAATTTCAGCTATTCTGGTTCAGAAGAAGAAAATAAAAGTGATTGGGATCATTTGAGATTGAAGTTCAGCCAGATGAAAATGACAGAGGAGAGGGGAACGCAGGAGCTGAGCGTATCTGCGAAGGAATTACTATAATGTTAGATTACAAAGTATTATTTTAAATGGCAGAAAGCCAGGAGCAGGTGGGTAAACAGAGAGAAAAGGAGGATAGATTGGATGCATTGATGAAGTCAGAGAGCTATTGCATTGGGGGGGGTGCCCATCCATCACACCACCCATGCACTCATGTGCACACAAATGTGCATGCACAACCACATATATTGGTTTCCTAGTTTAATTTCTATTTGGAAGCTGAAAAATATCCCCCCAAGGATTAGCTTCTTCACAGAATAGAGATGGGGTAAAATAAAATGTATAACTGTCTAGTTTTCAGGACTAGATTTCCCCCTTGTTCAGCCTACCCAAGAACGGGGCTGAGACATTTCCTTCCACATTACACTCCCCTTCCTGTGTGTCAAAGATCTGATGGCTTCAGTGGAGCTTACAAGTATCCTGAGTCATTTTAAATGAATTTCCACATGAGACAGTGTGATTGGAGTGTGGCAAGATCTCAGGACACAGAGAGGTGACCTTCATCCTATGTAAGATGTAGGCAGCTGCGATGGAGAGCCTTCTCCCAGGAATGACTGGAAGATCATCTGTCAACACTGGTGACATTGGGTGTTCATGTGACTGTTGACAGGAGGTCTGCAGGGGACAGCTTCTGTGCTGCTTCCTCATGCTGGCTGATGGGGGGAGGCAAGTATGTTATTCTTGCCCCTATCCTCTCCTGAGCTGGAGTCTCCTGTAGGGCAGGGCCTTTCCTACTGACAGGTATATCCCCAGCTTCTTGGTCTGAGCCTGACACAGAACAGTGTGTGTGTTGGCAGGGGTGGATGGGAATAAATGGATGATTCCCTGACTCTAGATAGAGCTAAGTTATTGTCATTAAGTAAATACTCCCTACATCTTCCACAGGGCAGGGTGGTGAGGGGCAGTTTTTTAAAATTTAACTTTTCCTTCGGCCTCCACCTCACTGTAACCATAGATTTCCTCTCTCCTGACAATAGACAGTGTGGACAAGGCATGGAAGACTGGGGAAGTTATCAGCTAGACCTCATTAAATCAATGATAGTCAGTACAGATAAAGCATCTACTAAGTGTAAGGCTGTAGATACTGTATAGTTGGTGATGAAATATAAGATGCAACTTTAAAAGTTCGCCTCAGGTACTAAAAGTCTTCTTCTGTCTTATCTGTTGATCTAAGTACTATCTCATTGTATCTTCACAACCTTATATTATCTCTTATCTCCATGTCACACAGAAAGAAATTGAAACTCAAAAACTGATGTGCTTTGTCCAGGTCACACAACTAATAAGTGGCAGAACAAGGATTCTAATCCAGATAGCTTGAGTTTAAATTGCAGCCCCTTGGCTGGGCGTGGTGTCTCATGCCTGTAATCCCAGCACTTTGGGAGGCTGAGGCAGGTGGATCACCTGAGGTCAGGAGTTTGAGACAAACCTGGCTAACACAGTGAAACTCTGTCTCTACTAAGAATACAAAAAATTAGCCAGGCGTGGTGGTGGACGCCTGTAATCCCAGCTACTCCGGAGGCTGAGGCAGGAGAATGGTGTGAACCCAGGAGGCGGAGCTTGCAGTGAGCTGAGATTGCACCACTGCACTCCAGCCTGGGCGACAGAGTGAGACTCCATCTCGATAAATAAATAAATAAATAAATAAATAAATAAATAAATAAATAAATATAAACAAATAAATTGCAGCCCCTACTATTGGGGGTTCTACATACACTGCGTTGGAATTGCCTGACAAGAGAAAATTTCTTCCGGATTTCGGCTCTTAAATGTATAGATTACCAGCTTTCCAGTAATCCCTAAAATTTCCACAAGAGGGAGACCTTTCCCCATCAGTGCTAGACTGCTGTCTGGAATTTCGAATTCCATTTGCAGTTTCACAGCTCAAGAATTGGCTGGCCACTTGTACAGATTATTTGTACAGGTTTCCTGACACAACAAAATGTAGATACCCTAAGCGAATGCCTGTTTAAATTACTCCAAATTAACTAGGAAGTTCTCTGTCCCAACCAGGCAGCCCGTTTTTTCCCTCTGCCAGTCACTCTCCAAGCCAGGCACTCAGTTCGCCACAGAGGCAGGGCCTGTATAAGCTTTAGATCTTTAAATACCTTTCCCTCCCCAAGTTCTAGTCATTATCCAATAGCCTAGAAGCCTCCACAATAGGTTTCAGAAGTTCTAAAACGTTGTCTCACCTTTCCCACTACCAGCCCTGCAGAAAACTTTGTTCATAATGAATTTTTCCACCTCCTGGACCTCAACCATCACTACTATCCAAGGGCTTACAGAGTGTCTGAGCAACAGGTATGGAATCCTATCCTGTCATACCAGGAACCACTTCTCAGCAAAAGAGGTGTAAAGTGGGCATATGACTATTGTATCCACTGGTCACATTACAGCAGACCACCTAGAAACTGCCAGCCTAACACAGTGATAGAATCAGCTGGTAGATGCACAGCTGAAGCACAAACATGGAAGTAATTCCTAGAGAGGAGGAGGTGCCATCTTCTAGCATGCAGTATACACTTTAAACCAACAACCTGGTGTTCTGTTCCCAAAAGGTAAAACATAAGGGTTCAGAACCAAAGAGAGAAAGCAGGTATGGCCCTGTTCACCATCATTCCCAGTAATCTACATGGGAAATTTGTGATTTCTGCCCCTACAACTCTAGGCTCTGCTGCTTTAGAGGCTCTGATTCCCAATGGGGAAATGTATCCAGCAGGGGAATGGGTTATGGTTGTTGCCTAGGAACTGTGGGTTCCTGCGTGCAGAGGCCAGCAGGCAAGAAGAGGCATGATCATAGTGGCTGTAGAGTTGATCCTGATTTGACAATCAGGATCCTGATTGTTGATCCTGATAATACAACTGTTAGAAAATGGAGACATGGGGGATATGCTTGGCAGCCAGCTGGCCCACTTGGGTGCCTCTTGGTAGTCCCTGCCCTATTTTGATGGTAAAAAGACAAGTGCAGCAGCATGGCTTGAGAACAGCATGGATACTAGGGCTCAGACCCCCCAGGGAGAAAGTTTGCATCACACCATCAGGTAAGCCACTGAAATCAGCAGAGATGCCCACTAAGGGTGAAGGAAAGCTAAAAAGAATAAAAGAAGAAAATGATGAGTATCAGTTGCTGTCCTGAGAGAGGCTTCAGAGAGCTATAATTCTTTCCACTATCTTTCTTCTAACTTCCACCATGAAGAGAGACTCATTAGCATGCTAGAGGAGCTGTTCCAGACTTCTGTGAAATGAATCCAAGTGGCACAAGAGGTAGTCTGTGGTAGACACTGTGATGTGCCACATGACCTCCCTTCAGGGACAAAGGGCTTATTCCCCCATGTAAACCAAAAATAAAAATCTAAGCCCCCTGACCGACTGATAGACTCCCCTGTCTGCCAAAGACATTCCAATCTAAACCAGAAAACCTAGTTCAGGCCATGATCGAAAGTGGGGATTGGACACGCCTCATCATGCTCTCCTCTCTTCAGAATTGGGAACAAGTGACCAGCATTAACATTTAAAAAGATCTGGCCAGGTGCAGTGGCTCACGCCTGTAATCCCAGCACTTTGGGAGGCCGAGGTAGGTGGATCACGAGGTCAGGAGTTCAAGACCAGCCTGGCCAACATGGTGAAACCTCATCTCTACTAAAAATACAAAAATTAGCTGGGCGTTGTGGCAGATGCCTGTAATCCCAGCCACTTGGGAGGCCGAGGCAGAGAATTGCTTGAACCCGGGAGGCAAAGGTTGCAGTGAGCCGAGATCACACCACTGTACTCCAGCCTGGGCAACAGAGCAAGACTCCATCTCAAAAAATAAAATATAAAATAATAAATAATAAATAAATAAAAGATCTTAATGGGGAAAACCTACATTCTGTCCACAATCCTTTTTTTTTTTCTCTCCAGGTCTCTCCTCTGATCCAGAAGAAAATTAAGAGTCTGACACCTGTTTAAGTCCGATAACAGCTCTGATGCCTGCTACATGGAGGTTTCATCTGCAAGATAAAATCTTGGTCTCCAGGTCGGGCTTGGTGGCTCATGCCTGTAATCCCAGAACTTTGGGAGGCTGAGGTAGGTGGATCACCTGAGGTCGGGGGCTGGAGACTGGCCTGGCCAACATGGCGAAACCCCGTCTCTACTAAAAATACAAAAATTAGCCAGATGTGGTGGCAGGCGCCTGTAATCCCAGCTACAGGAGAATTGCTTGAACCCAGGAGGCGGAGGTTGCAGTAAGCCAAGATCGTACCACTGCACTCCACCGAGCAAGACTCTGTCTCAAAAAACAAAACAGAACAAAAACAAACAAACAAACAAAAATCTTGGTCTCCACAACACCTCCTTATCTTAACCTAGACATGCTTTTCATTTTTTATTTTTTTATTTTTTTTTGAGATGGAGTTTTGCTCTTGTCACCCAGGCTAGAGTGCAATGGCCCAACCTTGGCTCACTGCAACCTCCACCTCCCGGGTTCAAGCGATTCCCCTGCCTCAGCCTCCTGAGTAGCTGGGATTACAGGCACCTGCCACCATGCCTGGCTAATTTTTTGTATTTTTAGTAGAGACGGGGCTTCACCATGTTGGCCAGGCCAGTCTCGAACTCTTGACCTCAGGTGATCCACCTGCCTCAGCCTCCCAAAGTGCTGGGATTACAGGCGTGAGCTGCCATACCCTGCCGACATTCCTTTCTATTGATTCCAGCTCTTTAGATAATAACTCTTTTCAACCAACTGCCAATCAGAAAATCTTTGAATCTATCTATGACCTGGAGGCTCCTCTCCTCGACTCCCCCAACCTCCACTGCTTCCAGTTGTCTCGCTTTTCTGGACCAAACCAATGTACATTTTACATGTGTTGATTGGCCTCTTACATCTCCCTAAAAGATGTAAAACCAAGCTGTAACCTGACCACCTTGGGCACATGCTGTGCGTGTGCTCTCAGGGTCTCCTGGGGCTCTATCACAGGCCATTAGTCGCTCACTTTTGGCTCAGAATAAATCTTTTCAAGTATTTTACAAAGTTTGCCTCTTTTCATCAACATCCAGCTGTGAAACCGCCTTTTCAAACATTATAGCTGAGGAAATTATGACAGTAAAAGAGATCTGACCTAACTGACTCCACCTTGCTTCTAACCTCCAAGCTGTCCTTGTTCATTCCGGGGCGTAAACCGAACTAACCTTGGGAAGGAATTTAGTTTATAGCTTTTTTTTTTTTTTTCAGATGGAGTTTTGCCCAAGGTGGAATGCAATAGCTTAATCTTGGCTCTCTGCAACCTCCACCTCCCGGGTTCAGGTGATTCTCCTGCCTCCGCCTCCCGAGTAGCTGAGATTACAGGCACCTGCCACCACACACAGCTGATTTTTGTATTTTTAGTAGAGAAGGGGTTTCACCATGTTGGCCAGGCTGGTCTTGAACTCCTGACTTCAGGTGATCCAACCACCTCCACCTCCCATATAGTGCTGGGATTATAGGCGTGAGAGCCACCACACCAGGCCTTATAGCTTAACTTTTAAACAAAGATGGTAATAGCCCTTTCCTGAAATAAGGCCCCTTCTTGCCTGAACCAAACTGCCTTTGTAGGACTAACAAATTAGCTACAAGATTAGAAATTACAGTTTAGGAGCCAGGCAGCGTTCAGCTGCAAGAGTCTGACCCTCCCCAAATTGCTCCTGGAAATAATATCACTGTTGTAAAACCTAAGATTAGTGCTTGAGATATTTTCCAGATCCTGCATTCTGATGCACCAGCTGATACCACCCAGACCAGTAACCTGGCTCAGCCAACTCTGCAATCCCAACTAGGAATAGAAGACAACAAGAAAAACTCACTTTGACACCCTATGATTTCATCTCCAACCTGACGAATCAGCACTTCCCACTTCATGAGCCCCTACCCACCAAATTATCCTAAAAAACTCTGATCCCTGAGTTCTTGGGGAGACTGATTTGAGTAATAATAAAACTCCAGTTCCTGGTACAGCCGGCTAATTACTCTCTCTATTGCAATTCTTATCTTGATAGATTGGCTCTGTCTCTGCAGCAGACAAGGAGAACCTGTTGGGCAATTACAGCTGCTCAGAATGGTCTCAACAGAAAGTCATCAGCCCCCTACAGGGATTTTCCTAAATGAAACAAACTCTCTCATCCCATTTCAGGACAACTCTGAAGGGTCATCCCAACTTCAGTGCTCCTATGGGGTCCAACAAGACCTCTCTGAGACAGCATCACAGATCGACTTGCCCATTTACCTAAGTCTGCTTTCTTCTCTTTCCTTTCAGAGGTGTTCATTTCAAGAGCACTTTCTAATACAATTCTCTCACATTAATCTCTGTCTTAGAACCTGATTCCTAGAGAACAGTGTCATTCATATTGAGGGAAAAGGGACTTTTGATCATCTATCCAGAAGGATAAGGGCGTGTGATATGGCAGCAAGTGATGGTTCCATCAAAAACAACAGGTATGAAAACATTGTATAAAAGAGGATGTGATCAAGAAAGATGTTATTGTTACTGGGTATGTGCTGAGGTCTTGGAGATCAATAAAATTTGGACCCTGGGGTCATCAGTGTCCTCCATAAGGAAGGACAGACAGAGTGAATCTCTGTCCTGAATCTACTGTCCTGAATGGACAGTAACATTGAAGGAGAATGAGGCAACTTGAAATCCCTGACAGGGAAATGGGAGATTATGTTTCATAGCAAATTTACCAGGCTCTTTCATGCCTTGTATTTTGTTCATGACATCCCTCCTCCCTCTTTTTCCTACTGCCAAAATTCGAATGCTTGAAGATTATAGATCCAAGCCTACAGTTGTGAAAAAGAAGTAGCTATCAGGAAGGAAAAGCCTTTTCCTCTATCCTTTTAGGTTCAGTGGCTGGGGCCTGTAAATTAAACTGACAAAAGACAAATTTACAGGAGAAAAGGGTTTATTCGTATGCACAGGGGAACCACAAAAGAAGTAGCTGGCTCATCAAATGGTTGAAATTAGCTGGGTGTAGTGGCTTATGCCTGTAATCCCAGCTACTTGGAAGGCTGAGGCAGGACAATCACTTGAACCCAGGAGGCAGAGGTTGCAGTGAACTGAGATCACACCATTGCACTCCAACCTGAACAAGAGTGAAACTCTGTCTCAAAAAGGAAGGAAGGAAGGAAGGAAGGAAGGAAGGAAGGAAGGAAGGAAGGAAGGAAGGAAGGAAGGAAGGGCGGGCAGGCTTACACATCTAACTTAGTAGGAGAAGTGGAAAGGGGAGAAAGTTCTAGGGGAGAAAGAGGTTTCTTAAGGAAAGACAAAAGAGTTTTTAAAGAACAAACGTCAGACCAGAAAGTGTGTGCTACTGTGGTCTATGCCAGCATGAGTGGTCTTTCTGTCTTCTTCAGAGTCATTAAACTCCCCCGGAAAGGGTATTTATGTTGAGTTTACTCTTGGTCTCCCTCCTCAGAGTGGAAGCCTTGCTGAAGAGGACATGTATGGCAGTCTTCATTTCTGATAAAAGAAAAATAGCTCAGACCACTTTGAACTATTTGAGGTATGCAAAATTTATCAGGCCCAGAGAGACATGAGTATGGGACTTCAGTCATACACTCCACCCCTTACCCCCATGCTTGTTACCACAAAACCAAGAATTGGGGTGCAATTGTTTGTTCTTAGTCAGACATGCCTCACCCTTTATCTTCACATTCCTGGGATTTGTGATACAAAGAACAAGGTATAGTCAATCAATAGCTTATGTTATTTTTATGTAAATTCTTGGTGAACAACTTAGTGTCTAGGAAAAGAGTGAAACTCTGTAAAATATTTGAAGAGATTTGTTTTGAGGCAAATGAGTGAACATGGCCCGTGACACAGCCCACAGGAGGTCCTGAGAACATGTGCCCAAGGTGATCAGGGTGCAGTTTGGTTTTATACATTTTAGGGATGTATGAGACACATCAATCAAATAAATTTGAGAAATACACTGGTTTGGTCCAGAAAGGTGGGACAATTTGAAGTGGTGAGGTGGGGGAGGGGGGACTTCCAGGCTATAGGGAAATTTAAACATTTTCTGGTTGACAATTGGTTGAGTTTGTCTGAAGACCTGGGATCAATAGAAAGGAAATGTTCAGGTTAAGATAAAAGATTGTGGAGACCAAGGTTCTTTGAAGTCTCACAGTGGCTGCCCTTAGAGACAACAGTTGATAATGTTTCCTATTCAGATCTTTAAAAGGTGCTAGACTCTCAGTTAATCTCTTCAGGATTGGGAGGGCCCGGAAGAAAAAGATCTATCTGTGTTATTAGACATTCTTTACAGATGTAAATTTTCCCCCATTAAGGACAACTTTGCAGGGCCATTTCAAAGTGGCCAGGGGAGGTGGCTCATTCCTGTAATCCTAGCACTTTGGGAGGCCAAGGCAGGCGGATTACCTGAGGTCAGTAGTTTGAGACCAGCCTGGCCAACATGGCAAAACCCCATCTTTATTAACAATACAAAACTTAGCCGGCCGTGGTGGTGGGTGCCTATAAACCCAGCTATTTGGGAGGCTGAGGCAGGAGAATCCCTTCAACCCAGGAGGGGTAGGTTGCAGTAAGCCGAGATCACCCCATT